AGTCTTTTTTGAATTTGTGTGGGACCACGATTTTAACTAAATTGATCCACTTTGAATTTCTTAGGAACCTGGAGACTAATGTTTTTTTATAAGGGACTAAAGTGGGGACTGTATTTTTTGTGAGACTTAAAAGGGTATTTTCTCCTAATATAAATATTGAACCAAGAGACAAATAAGAACATGCAACAAAAAAAGAAAGGAAAACAAAAAACTAAAATCAAATGTTTATGTCCGCACTTGCGGACATGTGCCCCTAGCTGGATCCGCCGATGGTTACTACCATATCTTAACCGTTGATTTCCGTCAATCAACGGTTATCATTTATTTCAAATTAATAATTAATTAATGAGTTTGGTTTTTGAAAATAATAATCGTTGATCGACGGAAATCAACGGTTAAGATGTGGTAGTAACATTAATAGTAACATTATTTGATTGTTACAATATCTTATCTCTATATATATGGGTTCGCTTTTTCTACAGTCAATGTAGATAACTTATCTACATTGAGTCTAAAACGACGTCGTTTTGAGGCGAAAATCAAGGTATTTTTGTAATTATAATTTATTTCACGGTTATAACAGTCTTTTTTATCATAATTTTTTAACCCAAAACGACGTCGTTTTGGGAGCGAATGTAGATAACTTATCTACATTTGCTTTAGAAACATTAAAGCACATATATATTTTTTTATATATATATATATATATATATATATATATATATATATATATATATATATATATATATATTTTGGAGAGGAATTATTAGTGGAGTTTGTTAAGGGGAAGTTTACAAAAGATACTATATGAAGGGAGACAAAGAGAGAAGAGTGCATTACGGAAGTTGAATCAGTAGGCTCCCGTTATATTTCTCGTAATTTTACCATAATATAATTATAATAATTTTAAATACAACACCTTTATAAAAGAAAATTAGGAAAAATATTTTATAGAATAAGAACAAATAATAATTTTAAATCAATAAAAAAAGAATATTTATAGTATAATAATAATATATATTAATAAAAATAATATAACATATTTTTAATATAAATTTTTTATCAATTAATTAAAACTAAATAATTATCTTAATAACAAATTAATTTATAAATGATCAACATACAAATATATAAAATATCACTTTTAGGGGGTGTATTGGATTAGGATTTTAAAAGACTTTTTTGAGCTAAAAAATCTTATAGATTTTAAAAGACTATATAGACTTGGAGAGACTTTAAAGACTTTTTTTACAATCAAGATTTTATAAGATTGGATTTTAAAGGATTTTAATAGAATTTATATGATTTGAAAGGACAATATGGATTTATAAGATTTTAAAAAAGTATATGAATTTTTAACAAACATTCAAAATTACAAGAGTCAATAAAAAAGGGAAAGGTTATACTTATTACAACCTATTTTTGTTTACAATATTTTACAATCATATCTTAACCGCTGATTTCCGTCAATCAACGGTTATCATTCATTGCAAATTAAATATTAATTAATGAGTTTGATTTACGAAATTAATAACCATTGTTTGACGGAAATCAACGGTTACGATATAGTTGTAAAAAGTTGTAAACAAAAATAGGTTGTAAGTATAATCTTCCCCATAAAAAAATAACAATGAATTGAAATGCAATGAAATTAATAAAAAAAGTAAAACCTAATATAATTTTCTCAATCAGTAAAACATAATATATTTTTTAACAAACATTCAAAATTACTAAACAACAGCTTTTCACATATCTAATGGGTTAAAAAATTTCTTCTTCATTTAGTATCAAAGTTATACAAATATGATTATAAGGCCCAATTTTTTTTAATTATAAAAATAATTCTAAATTTGCATATAGAACCTACAGTTCATAATAAAATTTCGTTTGGAATTTTTTGCAATTGATATTGAAAATCTTGGGGTTTTTGTTTTACGCGATGAGAGTTTTTTAACCATATATCATATGCATATTTTCATTGAATATTCTAAGAAAATTTTGAATCTGAAACTTTGGGTTTAATTACATGAAAGTTTAGAAAATTTCTCAAATTTTTTCAATCGATACATTGAAACCTTAAATTGCTTTTGAGCTTTTGAGAAACAAACTTTTAGTTATCTATTGACACAAAAATTGTTTGAAATCATTTTCTATAGTGAAGGAATTTCGTTCATGAATGTATTGTTACGAAATATAGGGTTCATATTATGAAAGTTTCAATCTTTCTTTAAATTGATATTGTTTCATTGATGTAAAACGAAAACTGGTTTGAGGGTTAGTTTCTCTATTATTTTTTCATTGTTTTATGTTATTTTTAATACAAAAATCACACATTTTTGTGCCAAAAAAAATCGCGACCCATAGTTTGAAAAATCACTTTTCAAACTTCCTAAATTTCTAAAAAATGGCTCAAAAATATGTTATTTTTGAGATAGATTATGTTAAAATCTCGTTGGTTTGTTGTTTCTGCGTTGTTTTGTGATGAAAATCGCTCAAAAATATACTTTTTTTTATAGTTTTGACGAAGCTCTCATTGTGGAACCCAATTTCGAGCAGTCAACCTGCTATAGGAAGAATAAAATATTGCAATAAAAGAATCTCAAGAACTCCTAGGTTAGGGTGAGATTGTGAGAGAAACATCATGTTTATATTTTTACTAAAAAGTCTCACGAAATTCACACAAATAAAAAAATCCATTAAAATTGTCTTATTTTTGAATACCATGAGATTGTGATTCCATTGTTTAAAATCCTGATTGAATACCAATGAATTTGGACAGATTCTAAAATAATCATTTAAAATCCTAATCGACTTTTTTTCAATCCATCCTAATTGAATACCAACAGATTTTTTTGTCCAAAAAAAATCCATTAAAATCTTTTGAAATCTCAATCAATACATCCTGATATAAATAGTTCCGGTTACGACTTCAATCCGGAAATGGAAAAAAGGTTTTTTTTTTAATAAGTTTGACCCACTTTTAAGCTGTCGTCATTGGTGCCATATTTTTACCGGATTTGTGCTCTAAGGTTTAAAATAGAATAAAATGTAAAAATACTTCAGTAATACGAAAAGAGTAAAAAAAAAAAAAAAAAAGAATTCTTTAGTCTCTTGTATAAATGGTGTTTTTCCCCCCGGTAAATTGTATAAATGGTGTTTAAGCGTAAGGGACAATGTACAAATGATGCAGGCAACGATTTTTACAATAAATTCATTTATTTATTTTATAAAATCACTCTTCATTATCTTTTGGTCTCAAATAAAAGATATCATATCATTCTTAATATTTTTATTTTTTTGTATCTCAAAATCATAATTATAAACATATTATTGAATATATGGTGGTGCTTCTGCAATAATAGCAAGTATACTAACGTTTTTTTCTTCACATATCTCACATAAATTAATTATCATATTTCGTTTCTCTTTGCTTTTCTCTTTTTTTTTTTTATTCAGTGAAATCAATTGTATATGATTCCTCATTCCTTATGTCAGTTGCATACTTGCATCAATGCAACATGTGCCAGTGGAGCGCATGTTCTGTATTACTGGTGCACCGATCAGCGGGTGTGATACTGTATTTACTTTATATATTACCGATATATAATACGTGTGATAATGTATTTACATTATATAAAAAAGATGTTTTTTCTCTCTTTAATATCATATATAGTAACTAACATGGCGCATTTCTACAGGCCCGCTGTACCTACTCTCATAATATACGAAACAGTGATCTATTTGTGATATTTTAAAAAAGTATTAGTTAACTATCACACGAATACTAAAATTTTTTAAAGTGTCACGTATAGAAATTTGTTATAGCAAATAGCGAACTTTATTTGTTAAGATGACAACCTAATTGACTATTAGTAATAATGAATTAAGTATACTTTGAGCAAAAACCTGACACTTGTCAGCTTTTCCCAAATTTGCTATGCATGACAGTAGGTGTAATAAAAGTTTTTATATTCCCCAGACATTGCTTCCTTCTTTGTCCGTTTCGTTATCCTTTCTCTCTCTTTCTTTGAAGTTTATCATCTGGTTCTTCAAAAAAAAATTCAGCTTCAAACTCCACTCTTATCTCAACAAAAGAAACGCATGAAACTCAGATAAAAGAAGAAGAAGCTGTAATGCAAAAAGAAAGTCAACAGATTCAGTGATGAGAGATCATTGTTATGACAAGGCATAAATTTTCAAACTTCCTTATCATAAGAGACCCTTTTATACGATATAAAGAGAAAAATAGTTAAAATAAAAAATAAAAATTCATCTTTTATCTACTGAGTGTTTTGAAGGTTACAGAGGAGATAAAGTAATGACTGGGTAAATACTGGACTTTTGAAAGAAGAGAAAGAAAGTGTAAGAAAACCATGCCTCATAAAAAAAATCACTCTTACCAATGAAAGAATAAAGCGTATTATGGAGGAGATAAAGCACTGAGTGGATAAATAGTGGACTTTTGAAAGAAGAGAGAGAAAGGGTAAGAAAACCAAGCCTCTTGAAAAAATCACTCTTATCAATGAAAAAGTAAAGCGTAGGAAATATAAAAGGTTTTATTACACCTAGTTCGGTGACACGTGTCTTGTTTTTATTCAGAATATATTTTGATCATTTAGTTCACTGTTAGTTGTAGCGATTTAGATGATCATGTCAGGAAACTAAGTTGATTACTTGCTCTAGCAAATTTGTACGCATGTGATTTTAAAATTTTTTACTATTCACTTGACAATTAGTTAATTTTATTTTTCAAAGGTGGCAAATAAGTCACTATCTCATAATATACTAGATTTTTCGATGCCATTGGCATTATATAACTATAAACGAGTAAGTAGTCTTTTAGTCGTTGACTTTCAAGGCCTAGCCAACATTATACTTTTCGGCTTTCACTTTGAACTGTGGACGAATCAGTAGCATGTTAATTGATGCAAACTCAATGTTCATGGTTGAAAAATATAGTCCAAGGAGTTAAATATTATAATATTATATTTAACGCACAAATTACACATTACACACAACCATTCTCTCAATATCTCAACTAAAACACACACTACGCATTCTCTTTCAGATCAGTTCCTGCAGCTACATTTCTACTAGAGTTTTTGCTGAAAACCATTTCCATCTCTTCCAAGGCCTTGCCCTTGGTTTCAGGCAGGAAAAAATAGAAGAACAGCCAAGCTAATACAGATATACCGGCAAACATGAAAAAGCTCCCACCTATGGTAATTGCTTTGTAGATTGAAATAAAACTCATGGAAACAGCAGCATTCATGACCCTGTTCACTGCAACTCCTATACTTGCTCCTTGTGCTCTCAACTTCAAAGGGAAAATCTCTGAGCTATAGACCCACGTAACAGGTCCAAGCCCAATATTAAAAAAAGCAACAAAGGTGTAAGTAGCCACAATGCTAAGGGTCAAGGCCCATGTGAGTTTTTCGTGGGATTTTTCCTCCATGGTCAAGCTGAACCCTAATACCGTAAGGCCAAAAACCATTCCTCCAGTGCTTATAAGCAAGAGGCGTCTTCTTCCAACTTTGTCAAGTAAAAATGAGGCTATTATTAAAAAAGTGATTTTTGTAAGGCCTACTCCAATTGTTGTGAGCAAGAGCTTATCCTTACTTGTAACACCAGCTTTTTTAAAGATTCTTGGACTATATAACATTACAGCTTCTATTCCAGTTGCATGCTCAAAAAAGTGAATCCCAACCGCTGCAATCAACATCCAACGAACAGAAGGAGAGGGCCTCAGTATCAACTCTTTCCAAACCCCTTCACCATTGTTCCTTTGATGTAGCTTAACCATCTCTTCTGTGCAATTCTCGTCAATCCCAGCAGCAATTTTTATATCTTTGAAGCGAAGTTCAGCTTCTTGTTCAGTATTTGAAACTTGCAATAGTACTTTCTTAGCTTTTCCTAGATGGCCCTGCATAACCAGCCACCTTGGAGACTCTGGCATTGTAAGAATGCCAAAAGTCAAAGCAAGTGAAGGAATTGCTGCAATACCAAGCATCAATCTCCATCCAAGCTTCAAAGTCAATTTCCCAAAGAAGTAGTTTACCACGTAGCCTAGTAAGATCCCAATACCTATACAAAGCTCAGGTAGGGATGTTAGAAAGCCTCGTGATTTAGCAGAGGAAATCTCTGCAGAGTAAACTGGTGCTATCATAAGAGCAAAGCCCACACCAATACCAGCAACACACCTTCCCACCATTAAAATTGCATAGTTTGGGCCATACCCCATGAGAATTGCACCAACCATGAAGAGGACAGAAGCTAGGACAATCGTGTAGCGTCGTCCAATGTAATCAGAGGTTCTTCCAGCAGCTAAGGATCCCACCAATGCACAAAGGTTTAAGATTCCTGCTAGAACCTCTTGTTGGGTGTCACTGATTCCAAGATCATCCTTTATGAATATCATGGCTCCACTCATAACACCAGTATCTGAATTGACCATGTATATATATGTATCGTCAAAAAAATTTACAAGGCATGCATTTATCCAAAATATTATATATATGAAAAAGAATGAGAGTGATGAATTGAATATTACCGTAACCAAATATAATGGATATCATGGAAGCGACTATAGCACATGCAAAAGCATATTTGTTGAATCTTTCTTCTTCACCTCCTAGCTCCATGATAGACAACAACACTATATGAAAGGCTTTATCTTTCTCTAGTGTATTAAGCCTAGCTAACTACAACAATTTCCTTAATTCTCAGCCTGTTTATATAGTAGCAGAGGCTGATGACGTGGCTTGATTTCTTATTGGATGAACAAAGAAAAGTGGATCTGATGGGTCCCACTACTATTGACAGATACCTGATGCCGCGTACCTAATGAGACACCAAAATAACAGTAACGAAAAAAAAGAAAAAAAGAAAAGAAAGCAGCTCAAGTTGGACTTGAATTTGTTAGAAGAAAGTGGAAGGTTGGCTAATGAAGGAGTAGTGAAGATATTTTCGGAATGAGGAAGGTTGGTGCGGCATTCCTTACATTGTTGTGTTGTGCCACTTGCAATGGAAACTAATATAGTCAAGTAATAATTTATCTTGGATAAGGATGTATCATGTAAGGGTGTTCACCATCTGGACACCCTTTCGGTTTTAAGGAAAACATGTCGACCAATTTAATTTAATTGATTTTTTTCATAATAATATTTCTTAATCGGTATGATTGAATACGTATATTTGATTCTATTCAATCTATTCTATAAACTAATTTATTAAAAGACACTAAATAAAAATTTATTAATATACAAATTCAAATACTAAATTATTTATCAATATTTCTGTTTTTAAAGTAAGTTTAAAAATTGAAATGAAAAAGTTAAATATAAAGTTCTTAAATAAGTATGAATAATATAATTTTTTAAAGTAAAATATTGTTCTAAAATTTTAAATTTTATTTAAAATTTTATTTAAGTTTAGATTCAATTGATTTTAAGTTCAAATCCAAAAATTAAATTAATTTATTTAATTACAGATATTTTATTTTTTATTTTATTCATTATTTTTAATTTTAGTTGAATTAACTCGATTTTAAATACTTTTTAGAGTAAAGTACTTTTTGGATTCACAACAAAAATTATTGGGCCTATTTTAATTCCTTAAAAAAAAGTCTCTGAAATTCAAAATAGATCAAGTTAGTCTAAATCGTGGTCCTTCTGAAATTTAAAGAAGGCATATATTAATCCTTCAAAAGAACTAATATGAATTTATTTTAAATTTTAGAGGAATTACCGGTCAATTTTTTTTAAAGAATTAAGAGTAAATACATCTTAAGTCCTTAACAAAAAATACGGTCCCTATTTTAGTCTTTTACAAAAAAAATTAGTCTCGAGATTCTTAAAAAATTTAAAGTGGACCTATTTAGTTGAAATCGTGGTCCTTCTCAAATTTAAAAAAGACTCATATTAATCCCTCAAAAGGACTAAAATGAATTCACTTTAAATTTAATAAGGAGCAAGAGATTATTTTTTTTTTAAGGCAATAAAGTGAAAATTAAATTTTTTATTAGGGATTAAAAATTATATTTACTCAAGAATTAAATTAGGATTTGAACACTCAAAAATTACTTTACTCTACTTTTAACTTTATACGACATGACAACTTAAAAAGCAGATGGGTGGACGACATGATACTATGATAGTATTGATGACTAATGCTTAAGCCGAAACGTGTACCAAACGTGTACAATTTTATCGCCATTAAAGCTTGAAACTACCATTTTATCACCATTGATTTTAATTCTTTTAATTTTAATTTTTTTTTCTGTTTCGATTGAATTAATTCGAATACATTCTTAATTTTATATAGCATGACAAATACGGCAGAGAGGTGGACGGCGTGATAGGATTATTGTATGAATGGCTACTGCTAAAGTAAAAAAGTGTACTTATTGCAAAAAAAATAAAAAAATAGTAAAAAAGTGTACCATTTTAGTCTGTGTTGGGCTATATATAGTAGATTGGATTCAGCTTCGTTAAAGATTTGATTTAAGAATTTATATAGAAAAAAATACTGGGGAAAGGAATTCCTGTCTTTGACGCTTTCTCACTTCAAGAGATTAATCTCCAATAAAAGGGTAATATTATGAAAAAACAGAGTCCATATTAATTCTCTTAGGTGCTGCCTCTATACATGTGATTAAACATTTTTAAGTTTTTTTTATCATACATAAACATTTAAGTATTTGATTACTTTGGTACATATTTATATATGTCTTAAATTTTTAGCAATTAGGTAGAGATTTTTTCTTTCCCCTTAACTAATACACATATCCAATCGAAAATGCGAAAAATTACAGGTCAAGGAGGAAGTCAATTCTTGTTGATCGATCAGTAATTTTTGGTAAAATACTACTATAACTAAACGTAAACATGCTGATTGCATTATCATGTGCTTTATATGATGCATTGTATGCGACTCATGACTTAGAAGAACCTACCTCAGTACTTCCTATATTCCACCACAAAGAGATGGTGTTTTGGATAATATTTTTATAGGTCAATGACAATGAGGCAACACATACTGTGAAATAGTACTAGCACAATCTCCATAATGTGTGTTAATTGGCTTGGGAAAAGAGACCTTACATGTTTGTGGAGTCGTTAATAATTATTTTTTGAAACTTAATTTAGCACCAGGGGCAAATACTTGGTCCAAATCCGTTAATGTAGTCAGGTCAGAAAGACAAATTCATGAAGGAAAACCAGGGATAACTTTCCATACAAAGGATGTGTTTGTTTTAATCCCGGCTTTGATTGTAACGGAATATTATCTATTTTTAAATTCCATATTAAACTAATATTGTGAAAAGAAATTTTTTTATTTTTTTTATTTTTTATTTTTTTATTCTACAACTATTTTTTTTAGTTTTAATTTTTATCTTTTTCAAATTTTATAATTAAAAAAATAAAAATCAGAGTGTATTTATATGTAATAAAATAAAAAATACATCAGTTTTTATAAAAATATATACTATTTAAATACCTTAAAAACATCAATTGATTATATATTTATAAATTTGTTTAATCTTAATCTTATAAATATTAGAGTAAATACCATTTTTGCTCCCTAACAAAAAAACACGATTCCTATTTTAGTCCCTTAAAAAATAAATTAGTCTCGAGGTCCTTAAGAAATTCAAAGTGAACCCATTTAGTTAAAATCGTGATCCCTCACAATTTCAAAAAAGACCCACATTAGTCCCTCAAAAGGACTAAAATGGATCCACTTTAAATTTTATAAGGACTGACCGACTAATTTTTTTTGTAAGGGACTAAAGTGGGGATCGTGTTTTTTTTGTTAGTGATTCAAAATAGTATTTACTCTAAATACTATTATTGAAAGCATTTGAATAAATTTATGTGAGACAATTTTGACGATAGAGCTCTGAAAAATATAATGAGAGTATACAATTTCAAATATAATTTATGTATGTGGTGGGTCCTTCCTTGAAAATAAATAAATAATATAATAGTTTTGTTCAATTTATATATATTATTGATTATTGATCACGATCGATAATAAACGGGATGAAAGATCCAATCCAATAACAACTCAAAATGTCTAAAGATGTACAAAGACTTAGTCTGTAAGAAAATGGTATATCACGCGTACACGTAATCCCGGAATGTATAGCTAGACCGACAATAACATAGGGTTCGTAAGCCTCCTTAATAGCCAATGACTGAGACACAAACATGAGATTCCAACTAAGCTATACATCATAGCTCACCAACAGACATCCCCTAAATGGGATAGACCAGCAAAGCCGCATATACAACCAATAAGAACACATGCCGCCATACTAAGGCGACATAGCAAGGAAATAAGCAGGTCATGTCACTACTATAAAAGAGAGGCTCAAAGGCCAAAGCCTAGATATGATTATCTTCTTTCAATTTTACTTAAGCGCATCCCAAAAATAATGACTTGAGCATCGGAATGTCTTGCAAATACCCATCTCCATATGTCCCAGATAGGTATATTTCAATGGAATTAGTATCACGTCCCGCACAATTAAAGTACAGATCCCGTTACAACAATTCACCAATAATTTCCATTAGATCAGGCTCAACCGTATGTGATCATATCCAATCTCACTTGGACCGGTCACTTATATATTTTCATTTTATTTATATTAATAATATTAACACAAGATGTACTAATATTTTATAAAAGTAGATAAGGGTGTTGATCAAAAGAATAAGAGAGATAATGGATAATTGTGTAGCTAGTAAAAAAGAAGTGTGAATAATTTTGAGAACAAAAGTACAACATTGTCAGAGTAGAAGCACACAAGCTGGCCTGAGTTTGAATAGTTAATTTTTTAAAATATTTTAAGTAGATTAAAATAAAGGAAAATAAAACTTATCACGATCGAAGGTTGTACGTGGCATTCAGGCGGCTATGGGTGTACATGACAATCATTCTATTTTCTGGCACTGTTTCCGAAAAGAAATAATTCTTTTTTAATTTTGTGCCTTGGAACAGTTCTTGAGAAAAAAATGTGTTTGAAAACATATTTTATTTTTATTCCGATAATGAGAATTGTGTTTGATAACAAAACATATAATAGAATAAAAATTTATTCCTATTAAGCATAATTTTTTTTCGGATTATCACTTTTCTTTTCATATGGTGTGGTGGTGGCGATGGCAGCGGCACGGTGGTGGTAATGGTGCTGGTAGTAGTGGTGGTGGCAGTGGCGTGGTGGTAGTGGTTGTGATGGCAATGACTGCGACGATGCTGGAGATGATATAGTGGTGCTGGTGACGAAAGTGGCTGCAACGATGGTGGTGGTGGTTGGTGACAATGGTGGTGGCTGAGCGATGGTGACGGTGGCGGCGACGAAGATGGTGGTAGTGACGGTGATGACAGTGGCGGTGACGAAAATGGTTGCGGCGGTGGAGGTGGTAGTGGTGGTGATGGTGACGATGGCATGGTGATGGTAGTGGTGGTGGTGGCGACAGTGGCTGCGAAGATGGTGATGGTGGTGGTGGTTGGTGATGGTGGCGATGATGATAGTGATGGTTGTGGTGACAATGGTAGTGGTGGTGGTGACGATGGCATGTGGTGGTGATGGTAGCGATGGCCTAGAGGTGGTGGCGATAGTGACGGTGGTTACGACGACTGTGGCGGTGGTCGTGTCGGATGATGGTAGTGGTGGAG